AGCAGCAGCAACAGCAGCAACAACAGCAGCAGCAGCAGCAACAACAACAGCAGCAGCAGGTGTACACGCAACAACAACAACAACAACAGCAGGTTTATACGCAACAACTGCAGCATCAACAGCAGCAGCAGCAGCAGCAACAACAACAACAGCAGCAACAACAGCATCAACAGGATAAAGTTGAGGCTGTGCAGCAGCAGGAGGAGGAGTCGGCAGCTGCTGCTGCCGCCACCGAGGCCAGCAATAAAGTCATTGTGCCAAACATAGAAGAGGAACTGGACTTCTTGGCGGATGCAAATAGTTTGGCGAAACAGGGCTATGCTAATTCGTTGGCAACAAATGGACGCAACACGAACTCCTCGACAAACAACACAAACTTTGGCATACGCAATCCTAATAAAACGCCTTCACCCGAGCCGCCTTCATCTTCGACGCACGACTGCAGCAATAATGGAATATCGCCGGCCACAACAACACTCTGCCCATCCAGTGCGACGGCGTCTGCGTATAGTCCATCCGTACCGAAGCCTATTAGCGTGGGCACGTCTATTGGCGAGAAGAAAACGCAATTTATGGATAGCTACCTTAAGTTTCTACAAGGGGAACGGGATGATGATCCACCGCCAGTGGTGAAGCCATCGCGCAAGCTTAATTACCCACGTGCTCCATACAAACGCAAAGGGAAACCCGGTGCCGGCGATGAGGCGTCCACGTCGCAGGCAACGGCATCGTGTGGAACAGCGACAGACGGTCAGGCTTCCCAGAACATGGCTGGTCTCGTCGGCGACGATGGGCATCGTATCAAAATACTCTCACAAACTCAAATACTGCCTAAAAAGAGGCCGCATGCACAAATGGTGGCGGCGGCAGCTGCCGCAGCAGCAGCCGCTGAATCAACATCTACCTCTGTCATACAGCATCCCGCAGCCGATCAGACGACATCCTCGTTTCGGCCATACGCCCAGCAGCAGCAGCAGGAGTCGCCGGGTCTGGGCGCCGCACAGCATTTTGTGCAGCAGCATTGCGCGCAGTTGGGTAGCGGGAGCGGCAGTCAAGGTATGTTACTTGACCAACAGCATAATTCCAATAAGCACTCTACTATCGCAACAACTACTGCGCCATGCAACAACAATTACAACAACAACAACAACCACCATCACACACCCGCCGCTGTCGCCGCCGCCGCCGCCGCCGACGCGCCAACGGCGGCAGCCACCATCAACACAGCAGTTAGCGTGGCAGCAGCTCCTGCCGCGCCCAATCATCATCACCTTATTAATCTGATTTGGCCGTGGCAGCATTAGTCGCGATAATGACCACATCGCATCCATGTGACTCGACAGACGAGACAGAGACAACGAACCTTAAACCAGGGACATGGACACTGTGCATATGTAAAAACCGAATACATAAACTTAACTTTTAAAATTGTTATAATGCCGAATCGCAAGAGCAAAAAAAAAAAAAAAAAAAAAAAAAAAAAAAAAAAAAAAAAAAAAAAA